CCTTGAGACAAAGGTTTGAGTCTGAGGCTCTCAGACTCAAGGGCTGTGAGGAGAGACCAGGCCTATCTCCTTCAGGAGGAGTCTCAGGCCTGGGCCAAGGGGGACTAGACCCTATAACCAAGACCAGAAAGGAGAAACCAGGCTCAAGAACTGACTCCTTTTTTTCCCTCTGAGGCTCTCATTCCTCCCAGGTGGCTTTGGCCCTAGCTGGGGGATGATTTGCCCTGCCCTCTTTTATCCCCCTTCAGAATGAGCAATGAAGTGAAGCCCATACCCTGATAGGTAACATGTTCACTCAAATAACCCCAGGCATCTATTCCATCCCAGGCCCTGGGCAGTGTCCATGGGAGTGAGTAAGGCATTGCTCCCTCTTCTCTCCTGGAGTCTGGTACAGGAGCCGGACGTGAGTACCACCTGGCAGGAGACACCATAAATGCCATCACAGCTACCTGAGCAGAAAATGAGCCCCAGGAGCCCAGGGTAAGGCAGGGAGGGAACCCAAGAGGCTTCACAGAAGGGGAATTGCCAGAACTGTGTCCCCAGTGGAATGTTGCCGGGCAGAAGAGTAGACACGGCTCATTCAGCATAGAAGGAGCAGCAGGAGCAAAGGCTGGTGGGGAGATGGGGAATGCAGGGCTACTCAGGAGACCACTGAGTCTAACAGGTGGAGGGTTGGACAGGTACAATGAGGGAAGAACAACAGCGGGAGATGTAGTTAAAGAGAGTGGGTGGAAACACAGACCTCCAGAACAGGGGAGCGATAATCAAATTGTGGTCTGTCCTCACTAAGGAATGGTACAACTCGGCAACGAAAGAGAGCGAAAGGACATTACGCCTAAGAACACAGAGAATATTAAAAACATTGTGCTGAGTGAAAGAAGTCAGGCAGAAAAAGAACATACTGTTTGATAACATTTATACGGAGTTCTAATATGGGCAAAACTAATCCATAGAGATCAGATCAGCAGTTGCCTGGGGCCAGGTGAACTGGAAGGGGGCAGGAGGAAAGTTGCTGGGCCGATGAAAATGTTCTGTACCTTGATTGTGGGGTGGGTACTTATTTGTCAAAACTTATTCAACTGTATATTTTAAATGGGCAAATTTTATTGTGTATAAATTTTATTCTATGAAGTTGATTTAAAAGGTTTTGGTTTTTTTAAGGCTGAGATCAAATTGTTAAGGACTTTAAATGTCAAGCTAAGAAGTCTGGGTTCTCCCAGCCAAAGCTGCAATAGGGACACATCATTTGAACTCTTTTGGGAATGAGGGCATCAGCATTGGAATAACTGGAATAAGCAATATCCTGTTTGTTGGGATTTGGGATACGCTGGCCCTTGGATCTCTCCTCCCACCTCGTACTATGGAATTTTATCCTAGGAATCTCATTTCTTTTTCTAAAGATTCTTGGCTCCGTGGAAATGCAGTCATGGTCTCGCTTGGCTACTGAGCCATCCCATTTAACTTCAGTGGCATTGGCAATGAGCTTTCCCTGAGAAAGAAGTGGGGATGGGGGAAAAGGGTGCATCCAGGAGTGGAGGGCTCACACATGTTCATCACCTAGGTGCCAGGAGCTGTCCAAGGGCTTCAGCTACATCATCCAGCTCAGTCCTCACAACAGCCTATGCTATAGGTGCAATCAGCTCCATTTCACAGAAGAGGACATAGAGGTTCAGGGGACACAATGTCCCTTAATCAAAGTCACACAGTCAGGAAGTGGTGAAGTCAGGATTCCTATCCAGAAGCCTCTGCTCTTCCTACTGTGCCCCTTCTGGGGATGGGATGGGCATAAAAAAGCATCAGCCCACATTTCATAACCTTGCCCTAGAAAAGCAGCAATGTTGAAGAGCTAGAGGGGCCCTGACAGGCCACACAGCCAAACCTCTATGACGCGAAGCAGCCCAAAGGCCGAGTTCTTCAATCAGGCAGCCAAGACCCACCACCTTTCAGAAGGCTCTGCAGGTGAGCCATCAGGGGCTCCAAAGTGGCTAGGCAGGCCAAGAAAATCAAGGATGAGCAGTAGGGCCTGCACCCGAAGGCAGAAACCTCAACTTCACCCTCCCCATGTTTAGCAGGCCTAGAAGCCGGGAATAAGGATGCTGAGGCCTCACAGTAGCTCAACAGGGAAAGGAAACACCCTGCATCCAGCTGCATAGAAAGGCCTGGTCTCTCAGCATAGCCCCCCTCCCAACTCTGAGAGCAGCCCCTGGGAAAAGCAGGGCCCCCTCTCAACCTCAGTGGCGGTTCCTCCTTAGTATCTGTAGACTTGAAGCAATAAGTTACCCTACTCCCCAGTGCTTCCCACCTCTGCCACCCACTCCTCTGGGCCTCTGGCAGGGACTGTGCCCAGGTCAGGACAGCTAGTAGTCCATGTGCTTCCACCCCCACCATCTCCCTGTTCCAACTCCCAGGTTATAACATAGGAGCAGGATAAGGAGATCAAACTGGGGGTGGGACCTTAAAGAGAAAAGGGGCATAGATCTGAAGGAATATAAAGGGCCTTGGAGGTCCTGGCCAGAGACCCTTTTGCTGTGTTTCTCTGTACCTGCCCAGCACCATGGTAATGTCTGGTGGCCCCTGTCAGCTGTCTTCTCCAGGATCTTGGGGATGGAGGCTAGCACCAACTGCCTTTCCCCAGGGCATTAAGGACATGAAGGATTGAGGCCAGGGCAGCTTTGGCTGGTGGGGATGAGGGCATTTTCTGGTCAAGAGAGAGTTCAGTGTCTTAAGGGTTTGGGGGTGGGCAGGAAGGGTTGTATCATGTTTATGGGTATCATATGTGAATTGCTGTGTGTGCCTGTGTGTGTATACTCTCTGTGCATGGCTGGGGGTGCACATGTAGGTGTATGTAACTGTGTTAGTAGTCATTCATTTAACATGTATTATTTAGCACCTATTAAGCACCATGTATTATTCAGGTACTGTTCTAGATTCTTGAAATACATTAGTGAACAAAACAGGCAAGAACCCAGCTATAATTGTGCTTACATTGTTTTTTTGTTTTTGTTTTTGTTTTGTGGTACGTGCCCCTATCAGGGACCGAACCCAGGACTCCGGTCTGCAGGCCCACGCTCAACTGCTGAGCCAAACTGGCCAGGGCACTTGTACTTACATTGGCAGGGGGCACTTAGGAGGAACCAAAGACAATTATTATTATTATTATTACTATTATTTTAATCCTCACCCAAGGATATTTTTCTAGGTATCATCAGATAGAGTGAGAGGGAGAGAAACATCCTGACACACACACACACACACACACACACACACACACGTCTATTTGTTGCCTCCGGCACAACCCGACCAGAACCAGGGACTAACCGCCACCGAGGTAGCTGCCCTTGACCTTAATCGATTGGTCCGCAACCGAGGTTCGGCCAGGGCGGAACAAAGACAATTTTAAAGCACAGAATATAGTGAGTTAGAAAGTGCTACGGAGGGGGGCGGGGGTAGAGCAAGATGAAGGGATGGATTACAATTTTAAACAAGGGTATCAGAGTAGGACCCACTGGAAGGTGAATTTTGAGCTGATGCCTGAAGGCGGCCAGGAAGTTGGCCATGAGGATATCTGGAGAGTCTTCCAGGCAGAGAACAGCATGTCTGGCATTTTAAAGGAGCAGCCAGGAGGCAGAAGAGGTGCAGTGGGGTGAGCAAGGAGTTATGGAAGAGGTCAGCGAGGTCAGGGCGCTGACCAACGGCTCTTTGCCATCCTCGTGTGTCCATCTCAGGGCGTGCCTCACGGTCTATCCCCATGGTCCCGGTTTGCCTGGTGCTTTGTACGCGTCACTGTGCAAGTCCAGGGGTGCACCATTCGGCCTGGGCACCTGGATGTCCCTATCGGCGCTCGTGCACAGCCCAGTGCCACACACGTCCCCGCCAGCGTCTGAGCCAGGCGCCCCAGCTCCCAACCAGTACAAAAATCCGAGGGGTGGGCCTCACGTGACCGCCCGCGGCTCTATCTGCTCCGCCCCCTCCAGACGCCGGCTCTGCGTTGCGCGTGCGCACTGGCCCTGATGTACCTGGCGGTGCTGCTGCAGCGGCCCGAGGGTGCCCTGGGGGAGGAGCTGCAACCGCGGCAGCCCCTCGAGCCGAGGGCCGCCTATTGGCTGAGCAGCTTCGGCCTGTTCAACAAGTACCTAGAGAAGCTCTTCAACAGCAAGTAGGCGGGCGGAGAGCGGGAGGGAGGGAAGCAGGGGGAGGAGATGGACCCCACCTCCTCCCACCCCTCTGCGCGTCGCAGCCCCACCTCTGCAAAAACGTGTTCTCCATCTTGAGGTCTAAGGATACCAAGAAAGACGTTAAAAACCCCAAGAAAACCGAAAACAGCACAAAAGCCCCACCAGCGAACGCCACGAAACCTCTTCCATCGAAACCCGCGGAATTCCCACTGCGGAATTCCACTAACCCCCCACCGCGGGCCGCCGCGCGATCGCGACCACCGACCTCCTCCTAGGGCCCCAGGTAGGAGAGTCTGGGCACAGCTGGCACCAGTCGGGGGCCTCGGAACTGGGAGCAGTTGGGGGGGAGCGAGAGGAAGCCCTGGGGGCGGGGGCGACACCAGGCCACAGCGTCTTCCCCAGGCCGGGCTTTCACCACCAGACGCCTGGCTCCAGTCTCCCTGCCCACCGATATCCTTTATATTTTTTTTTTTTTGTGAGAGGGGCCCTGATGCCTTCCACCCCACCCTCAGTGAGAAGAATAAAGAGAAATAGAATGTCTATTGCTTCCGTGACTAATGTGGGCTCCGACCTACCTGCCCTTCAAGAAAGAGAGGACCCTGGAGCTCCTGCTAAGGCAAAGACCTCAGCTGCAGCACCTTCGCTGCCTCTCCCTGCAACCTATCCACCTCACACACATACCCCACTGCCAGGGTTGGGACTCTAACCGAAAGGGAGAACAGACTGAGAGAAGCAGGTTCCAGCAACCCCAAAGGAGGGGCTTCAGCCAGACCCCCACCCCAACTTTCTACACAGAGCAGGGCAGCTTCGATGATAGCCCAGGACGTCAGGTTGGCGCAGGGAGGAACAGCAGCAGCAGTGCCTTTGCCTGCCCCTTAGTGTGCAAAGCATAGGTAAGGCCCTACCCTTGCCTCCTGGATCCTCTCTGCTCAGCGAACAGAGCAGGGGAAGGGGTAGGAGCCCAGCCAGGGCTGCCCCTGAGAAGCTGGTGAGAGGGCGGCACTCTCCTCTGGGAGCTGGTGGCCATCACAGAGGCCTGGGCAGGGGCAGATTCAACTCACACACAGGTATGTCCTGAGCAAGGTCCTAATTCCTGACCCTAAGAAGTATCTACACCTCTCCCTACTCAGAACCCATCCCCTCAGCTGCCAGAGAAAATTCTGGGACAAGACTTCAGGCTCCGTCATCCAGACTCAAATTCGGATTTGCTGAAACCAGCCCCCTACTCAGACATCTCCTTGGACTTAAGAGTCAGCCTGAGCCATGAGTTTGCCTGGTAGCTGCATCCTCTCAAGCCCTTTGCCTTTAGGACCCGGTTCTACTTTCAGATCATTTGCATGCCAGACACAGCCAGGACATGGGGTCAGTGTGAGGTGTTGAGCTCAGGAAAGTGGATCCCCTCAGCCACCAAACTCACAAGCCCTCATCTCTGCAGGTGGAGCATGTGAGGGAGGCAGGAGAAGCCATTCCAGGAACCAGAAAAGTTCTGATTCTGTCACTTCTCCCTCCCACCCCTAACCCCATGACTATCCCTTATCCACAGGTGCTCATAGCCCAGGAAAAGCACACAGACAGACATTGGCAGATTCCTATTCAAATCTAGGTTCATCTGACTCTAACACTGATGCTGGATCCCTCTATTAGAATTCTGTCTGTGGCAGGACCTTGGACAAACTGCTGTACCTCTCCGAGACTCCTCTGTAGAGTGAGGATAAGTTATTGCCCTCACAGGGTTGTTGGGAGGGTTAAATACCCCTGGCACACAGTAGGCTCCTTTTCTGCACATGACACCATCTCCAGACCCCTCCTCTTCACTGTCCCCCTACTCAGCCCATGCTTATGCTGAGCCTTGTACCCCCTAACGAGCTCCAACTGAACATTTACAGTGACCTGCCCAGAGGAGGGCAGATCTGACGCCATCAATGCAGCTGGTGACTGTCTTAGCACCAGTCATTCCTCTAGGCTGTCACCCCTGCCCCCATGCCAAGGACAATAAACAATAGGAAAGAATTGGGTACATCCAGGGACAGGGCTGTTATCGGGCTGATGATCAGGAGAGTCAATGAAAGAGTCAAGCTCAAGCCCGGCCAGTGTGGCTCAGTGGTTGAGCATCAACCCATGCACCAAGAGGTCACCAGTTCGATTCCCGGTCAGGACACATGCCCAGGTTGTGGGCCTGATCCCCAGGGGGCATGCAGGAGGTGGCCAGTCGATGTTCTCTCTCATCAGTGTTTCTATCTCTCTCTCCCTCTCACTTCCTCACTCTCCAAAATCAATAAAGGAAAAACAAAATTTAAAAAAAAAGTCAAGTTCAAGACTCCCTAAGTGACCTTGGGGGAGTCCCTACCTCCCTTTGGGCCACAACTTGCCCCTCTGTGAAGTGGAGAGGATGAGCTAAATGGCTCTGATGACCTATAGATGTTCTGGATCATTCATAGCACCCTCCTTTCCTTTTTCCCTCCCCTCCCCCTTTCCTATACTGCGCCTTTGGCTATTCCTGCCCCACCAGGGGTCCACAAAGATATATACACAGAGACTCGGTCTTTGATTTGCTTTATTTAGCCGTTGTGGAAGTAGGAAGCAAGCTTTGACCAAAGCCTAGGGTGTAGAGGGGAGAGCTGGGCGGTCACTGCCCTTGGAGTTGGAGAAGGCAGGAGGTGGCATTACATGTCCATCTGGCTGAGCTCCCTTTGAGGACAGGGCAGAACATGGCAGTGAGTGGGCAATCTTCATACCCTCGGGAGACCTCAGGCCAGCCCTGGGCCCCTGTTCTCTCCCCACCCACCCCCACTCACCCCCAGGGAGCTGGCATGTAAGGCAGGAAATAAAACCTACCTGGGGACAGCTTTGTTGGGGGATCCCCACTCCAAGAAGTTCAGCATGTCTTCTTTGTCTCTTTTCCCATATCTGGAAGGGGAGAGGCAGCTGAGGCAAGCAAGCACTGTGCTCAGGTGCCAGCCCATCTGCCACTTGCCTGTCCTTGGGTACCATCCTGCCAGGGGCACATGGGCCCAGGCCCGGTCAGTAGAGAGGTTGTGCTTTCCCGAGAATGTGGAAGAGGCAGGGGCCTCTCTCTTCTCTTTTACACACCTGGGCCTGGTCAGCATGTTGATGTATCTGCGGAGCTCAGCTGCATACTGGGCCATCTGCTCCGGTGTGGCATTGTCCCCTGGGTACACTGGCTCCAGTGGGGCCCCCAAGGCACCCAGAGGTGGCTGCAGCAACAAAGCCACAAACATGGACAGGAACAGCAGGGAGAGGCAGTGGCGTGTGGCAGCCATCTGAAGCGCAAGGAGTGGAAGGGGAGATGGAGGCAGAACAGAGCCCACCTACCCAGCCCCTTACCCCGTCACCTACATCTCCAAGCCTGGAGACAAGAGGGTGGAGCAAAGAGTCACTCAGACCTGATCACCCCACCTCCTAGACACTGCCTCAGAAAGTATGGACAGCTCTTCTCATGGACAGTGCAACAGCTGGAGCTCAGCCTGGGCCTCAGCAAAGTAGAAAAGTATAGCAGAGAAGGTGGGGACATGGGGCAGGAGACAGGACACATGACGTCCAGGGCCTGATGGCTCTGAGGAGGCAGATGTGGGGTAGGGGTTGGAGGGAAGGGGTTGGTGGGAAGTAAGGGCACTCCTCACCTACAGGGCAGGGCACACAGCATGAACTTGTGAACCAAAAGACAGAAATCAATGGCCTGTGGGTCTGCTCCCCCACCCCCTGCCAGGGATAGACATGCAGATGCAAATGTCATGATCACACACATGGATCCCAGTCACTTACAAGGTTGAAGTCCCTCACACATTTGTGTTCACAGCCACCACCAACCACTCCCCACACATATGTGCAATCTTCTAGTCACATTCTGCTCTTCCAGGGTGACACATGTGTCCAGATGTAGAACTAGACCCACACAGGACCTCAGGCCTTCGGAGGCCCCCAGCCCTGCAAAGCATCAACTCTTCCCCCTATCCCAGGCCCTAGTCCCAGGAAGTTCTCCAAGGTCCCCCAGACCTTGGGGCAGGCTGAGCCCACTTACCCTGAGTCCTGAGCTAGTGGGCTCTGGACAAAGCAGATGCCGGCCTCAGGCTGGATGCAACCCTGCTCCCTGCTCCCTGCCCCTTTATAGTCCTCAGCCCCCCAGAGTCCCCGCCTACTGTCAGCCTTTCTCACTCCCCAGCCCTCCCCCCCCCCCCCACTGTCTCTCTGGTACCAACAACGCCTGCCAGCTCACTGGGGACAGGGACAGAAGAGGGACAGGGCAGTGTCATGAGTGCCAGACTTGGCAGTGTAACAGGTAAAAGTGAACTACGTTTCGTCTCCTGTGGGCCCCCGTCTACCTTTGGGCACTAAGAGCAGGTTTGGTCCAAGGAGGACTGGGTTCTGGGACCTCAGGATGAATGAAAGGTTCTAGTCTCAAGCCTTGGAACAGCAGCCCCTCCCAAGGAGTAACCCAAAGCATCCCACAAATTCCCTCAGGGCAGAAGATTGAGGCTGGGGCTCTAAGACCAGGCAGGGATGAGGGATGGAGACCCCTTCCAGTCTGTGATGAGAACAAGGTGGAAATGGAGGAGATTCCTCAGGTAGGCTGGCAATGTGAAAAGGAGTGGGGGGCCCAGGCAAGGAGAAGCCCACTCTCTGGCTGGTGTGTAGGATGCAAAATTAGAACTGATGTGCCTGGGTTCAAGAGAAATGAGGGTACCAATTTCTGGTAGCCACCTCAGAGCCCCTATTCCAGGGCAATGGTTAAAAACCAGCATCATTTGTAAAGCCTTGAATTTTCCAGAGTGCTCCAGCTCAGTCACCTCACTGAGTCCCTACAACAACCCACTTTACAGATTCAGAAACTAAGGCTCAGAGTCATTAAGTCTGACATAACTGGTCAGTGGTAGTAGATTCAAATAGATTCAGGTAGTAGATTTGAAATAAAGTCTAACTCCAAAATCTGGAATCTCTTTTTTTTCTAAATGGGGCTGTCAAAGTTTTGCTATAATTTCCCACTTTTTGGCTAAGAAGCATGAGGCTCACAAAGGTGAAGACACTTGTCCAAGATCACACAGCCACCTAGGACTCAAGTTCTGGCCTAGATTTCCAAACCCCACCCAGGAGCCTCCAAGTCTTCCCTGCTCTGTCCTTTCCCCGCCCCAGGCCAAGGAACAGGCCAAGGCTCTGCCTGAATGACACACAGAAGCCTGAGAAGGGAGCAAAGGACCTCTCACCCCTGAAGTTCTGCTGTCCCAGATCAAGACACCAAAAGTGAGTAATAGGAGAGGAATTTGGGGCAGCGGGGTAAGGACTGGAGGCGATGCCACAGAAATCTGAGCTTCAGTTTTCCTCAAGATAGGAAACATCGGTGTTCTGCTTATTCCTCTCAATTCGGACTCTGGCAACAAGAACAATGCTTCACCCAACAACTTACTTTCCACAAAGCAATATGGAGGTGGTTGTGTCTCCACATGCTCCTGCCTTTCTCTGGTCCTCTGTTCTGACTTCCCAAATCAAGGGAGGTGAATTAGTGGTGGGTCCCCTGTGCGCCTCTAGTGAGGCCGGCAGAGGCTGCAGCATGCCACCAGGGGGCGCTAGGCTCCAGCCGTAGTTGGAAGGGTCTGAGCTCCCACAAGACTAGAGCCCGGTGGGACCTGTCCTGGCCGCTATCCTGGTCCAGCCCCAGCCCCCACAGACAGATGGTGGATCTGAGGATTGACTCAAGTGCTGAGGATATTTATAGTTTTGTAAACAGCTTTGTCACTGCCTAAGAAATGACAGGTACTTCACAATGTCAGTTGAACCTATAGCTTTCATTTTTCTCCTTTGCAAACAGCAAATTCATCTTCTGGGTCCTCTCCAGGATGTTGTGACAATCGAGGAGGAAAAAGATAGTGGATGTGCTTCCTAACCAGTATGGCCATGTCCAGAACAGTTGGTTCTCACTCACTCATCTTTGTAAGTTCCCGGGACTTGTCACAGAGCCCTGCTTAGAGAAGCACCTGCAGGTGGGCTAAATGAAAATGACAGTGGTCCCTCTCCCCCCCCCCAACCCCATGCCCTTCGGGACAGGGCAGATGGCACTGAGCAGTGTTAAGGAGGGAGTGAGGGCTGTGATGAGACTAGGAAAGGAACACCCCAGAAACCCCTGGGGTTACAGGGTAAAGGCGAGTGTATAGTGTAAGGGGAATGGGGGTCCCCTTATCCCCTCTCACAGGAGCGTCTCCAGAGTGACCATGTAGGTCCAGCTACCCCTGGAACGTGTTGGAGAGGCTGAACTCCCAGCCAGTAGCCAGCAGCACCCAGCAGACATGGGAGTGAGCTTCTTAGATGTCAGCCCAGTGGAGCCTTCAGATGACCGCAGTCCCAGCCAACCTGACTGTCACTATGTGAGACACTCCAAGTGACAACTGGCTAGTCAAGCCCTTCCCAATCCTGACTTACCAAATTGTGAGTAAAATATGTTTTTTTTAAGATCCTAAGTTAGGGTAACTTATTATGCAGCATCGTAACCGGCATCCCGACCCTTTACCCCTCCCTCCCTTCCCAGTGGCTGGGAGACCAGAAGGGGTGATGCTGTGCCATCTTCATTCATGTAGATGAGGGCACGGGGAAGCCACCTAGTGAGGCCGGCAGAGAGGACCCTGGGCTCTCAGATGTCCTTGTGGAGCAGAGCTGCCGACTACCCAGATGCCACTCACATTTTATGTAAGAGAGAAAGAGAGAAATAAACTTCTGTCTTGTTTAAGCTACTGTTAACTCTGTCTCTATTTAAGAAACCAAATCACAGGAAGGAGGGGCGTGGGGGATGGAAGAGGGTATAGGGAGATAAATGGTAATGGAAAAAAGTAAAATAAATAAGTAAATACATAAAAATTTTAAAAAGAAGCCCTGGTCGATTTGGCTCAGTGGTTAGAGTGTCAACCCACAGACCAAAGAGTCAAGGGTTCAATTCCAGTTAAGGGTACATACCTTGGTTGAGGTTCAGTCCCCGACCCTGGTCGGGATTGTGTGGGAGGCAACCAATCAATGTCTCTCTCTCATCAATATTTCTCTCTCTCTCCTTCCCACTCTATCTGAAGATGAATGGAAAAAAATTCTTAGGTGAGGATTAAAAAAAAATTTTTTTAAGAAGCCAAATCAGCCCTGGCTGGTTTGGCTCAGCGGTTAGGCGTCGGCCTACGATCCAGAGAGACCCGGGTTCAGTTCCCGCTGAGGGCATGTACCTCAGTTGCAATTTGTCCCTGGCCCTGGTTGGTCGTGCGGGTGGCAGCCACTTGATGTGTTCCTTTCACGTCGATGTTTCTCTCTCTCTCTCTCTCTCTCTCTCCCTCCCACTCTATCTGAACAAAAAATGGAAAAAAATGTCCTAGGGTGAGGATTAAAAAAGAAAAAGAAAAAAGAAGCCAAATCAATATTCTAGCAATATAGTGCATATTTATTTATTTATTTTTATTTTTTTAATCCTCACCCGAGGATATTTTTACATTTATCTCCAGATAGAGCGGGAGGGACAGAGGGAGGAAGAGAGAGAGACAAACATCGATGTGAGAGAGACACATCGATTGATTGCCACCTGTACAACCCCAACTGGGGCCAGGGACAAACTGCAACTGAGGTCCAGAATCGAACCCAGGTTTTTTTGGTCCACGGGCCGACGCTCTAACCGCTGAGCCGAACCAGCCAGGGCTATAGTGCATATTTAAAACAAATAGCTCAGTGTCTAGCACATAAGTGCTGTTTTTAAAAGGTAGCTATTGCCATCATCATCATTAATTAATATTACATCTAAGTCTCCCTCTGCTCCAACGTGGGTTGAGTCTGATCAGCAGTGGATTAACCACTTGCTCAACACTCCTCTACATAATGAGAGCTTAACTGTGTCTCTGAGAGTCAACCAGACATGTCAAGCTGGGCAGAAATTGTCTGTGGTTATGCAGAATACATACCAGGGGCCTCTTGAATTAGTCTCAAAATGACCACAGTCCTCCCAGACAGAACGACAGACAAGGAACTATGGACACAAATACACATCCTCCCACTCAAACAGGCTCTGGGATCCTCAGTCATAGGAGTGGAGAGTGATGATGTTTAGACTTCATTTTACACACCCACAGTGCCTTCAGCCTTCAGAGTCTAGTTTAGAGGAAGGGAGAGGTACCCTGCACAGGAGGGTGTCCCCATGGCCTTGTCACCAGGAAGGCACAGTTAGTGACCTATGCACCGAGTGTGAATTCAGCAAGGGGAGTGGTTGCTGAGGGAAAGGGCGGCCTCCACATTCCCAGTGCTCCTCCTGCAGAGGGAATTCGGGGTGTTTGCAATGGCTCCCTCACACACACATACCTCATCTCCCAATGACTCTTCCTACACAGCCCTATCCTGGCTCCCATCGCCACCCCCAGCCACGACAGCCCTGGGGGGTATTACTATGTATTACTATATCCTCAGGGTAACCTCCCTCGGGGTTCATGCCTAGCTGGTGCTCCCTATTGCCTCCATCTGAGGGGGTGCCCTGTCTCCCTCTCTTCTCCTAGGCTGCCTAGCATGCTGTTTTCTACCCTCTCCATCCTCTAGGTGACTCTTCCTCCCCCCCACTATCCCTTTTCAAGTACTCTTAACCTTCCCCCCTCCCACCTGACTGGAGAGTTCCACAGTGGCCCTGTCTGGGCCCTGTCCACCCCCGGTGCTGGGCAGAATGTCTTCTCTTAGCTCAGAGCAGAGGGAGGCCCCACTCCACCCCAGCTCTGGGGAGCCTTTCATCTGAGGCATGGAGTCTTCCACAGGCTCTCTGGCACCACCACCCTCCACTCCCACCAGGATGCCACCTCCACGGAGGAGGAGAAGCGAAAGGAAATACAAATGCGCACGTTCCGAGTACATGAAATTTGGTCTTTATTAGGGATCAGGGAAGGACCACACACAGCCCTCCAGCCTCATGGTGGGGGGTAGGGACGGGGCGGAGACACGGAAGGAGGACCCCGCCCGGAAGCCTCCCTGCACAGGGGGCAGTGGGGAGGAACCCAGGGTCCAGGGTGTGGGGCAGACATGCAATTGAGGTCTATGTAGATAGCATCTCTCCCAGTGGGCCTTGGAGTGTCAACCTCTGAAGATGTCTCCTGACCTGTAGGAGCGAAAGGAGAGGAACTGCAAGGAGCCCAGCCTCTGGTCTGGGGAGGTGAGATGGGGGAAGTTCTAGATGGCAGTGCAGGTGGGGCTCCATGGGGCCGCAGGGCGAGTGACACGGGGACGCCTTTACCACCACTCGAATAAGCAGGCCGGGGCGGGTAAGATCCTTCCTGGTTTCGGGTTTCAAGAGAACATTTCCAGTCTGCTGCGGTTCCCAGACTCCTGGACCGGGTCAGAGATGGGCGTGGTCAGATATGCCACACCCCTGGTGAAGTTGGGCGGCGGGTGGGAACCCCAGAGACAGTAACAGAGGCTCTGCCCCTTGGGAGTAGCATCTTCACCCAGGGGCTTGGGTGGGTGAATAGGCGTCCGCCAGCGCCACCAGGCACACAGCAAAGCCCACAGCACTGTGACCATCGCAGGCCACGACCTGTGCACCTTTGCTATCTGCAGAAGTTGCATTGGAGCATGGGTCACCCCGAGCCTCGACACATGGGCTCGCTGTTGTTCTCAGGCACTGCACCGTCTCTGGCCTCAGTTTCCCCATCTGTCAGGGAGGCACGAGCCTTGCCTGTCTCCTCCTCACACCTGTGCTGCCCAGAACGGTGGATGGGGGAAGGGCCTACACTGGCAGGGGGCCTCGGGGGCCTCTCTCCTTCTCACTTCTGCTGGCCCTTCCAACCTAGCTGCTTGCCACTCAGCCCCAGTTTCTAGCATCCCAGCCTCAGTTTCCCCACAGAATATCCTGGTTCTCTGGCACCAGACAATTCCTGGGCTCCAGGCCACTCACAGTGTAGCTCCGGAAGCAGAGATGAGCAGGAGGGGAAGGCAAGGACTTCCAAGGGCTGGACTGCTGCAGGTCAGGCTGCAGCAGGGTTTATATCCCTGCCTGGAAAGGGAGGGGAGGGGGGAGCCAGGCAAGGAATGGCCCTTCCTCCTCCCTTCCTCTCCCCTCCCCCATCAGATCGCTGAACTTACACCCAAACGGTGGGTAATGTCTCTACCTCGCAAGTGGCACTGCCAAGCTCAGACTCAAGGGCTCCCTGGACCCGATATCTAGCCTGAATCCAGTCTTCACCCCACAGCTGCTCAACAGCAGCTCTAGCCTCCTGAAGAAGGGAAGCCTTTTGATCTAAACTCCTGGGCAGGCCCTTGGGCCAAGAATGAGATTCCATCTTCCCTAGCCTGTCCATGCATGGAGTTGGGGAGCGGGAGGCTAGACACGTTTTCTCCAGCCTGTGGGACCTGTGACCATTGCTTTGTAAGGCTGTTCCTAGCTTGGAGGGAGCCTCGCATACATAGATAGTCCCCGCCATCAGGGTATCATCTACTCCCATACTTCCAAAACCAGCAACCAATTCTCTGATTCTCCCGACACCAACGATTTAATTCAGTTCTGACACTAACTACCCACAGTTAGCGCAGACCACGCGGCTGAAGAGCCAGTCCTGCAACACTGCCCACCTCAGATGCCAGATCCGGACCTCCTTACCACTCTGACCAACCGGCTCTGAGCACGCGGGTCCCACAATCCCTTCCTCCGGTTTGATCATTTGAAAGAACAGCTCAAAGATCTCAGGAACATGCTTTATTTATATTTATTAATTTATTAGAAAGGATACAAAAGAACAGCCAGATAAAAGGGTACATAGGGAAAGGTCCAGAAGGGTCCTGAGTGCCAGAGCTTCTGTCCTGTGGAGTTGGGGTGTATCACCCTCCTGGCATGTGGATGGGTTCACTAATTTGAAAGCTCTCTGAACCCCAACATTTAAGGAGTTTTATGGAGGTTTTACCACATAGCCATAACTGATTATTAACGCAATCCCCTCCTTACTGTTTGTAGAACACATTTTTGCCCATAATATGAAATGGGATATACTGTATATACTGCGGCTTAACTTGCTTTTTTTCATTCAACAATACATCACAGACAGCTTTCCACGCTGACACATATACATCCGACCCTCCCCCCTGCACCCCCAGCCACCCTTTCGATCCTACTTTTTTCCAGATAGCACTCACCATCTTCAATCATACTTAGTTAACAAATAATTAACTTATTTATTATGTTTATTGTCTGTTCATTTGCAATGAACTTGAATGTTTGTGTCCCTCCAAAATTCATATGTTGACATTTTACCCCATAATGTGATCACATCAGGAGGTGGGGCCTTTGGGAGATGGTTAGGTCATGAGGATGCAGCCCTTATGAATGGGATCAGTGCCATTGTACAAGGGACTCCAGAGAGCTTCCTCACTTTTTCTACCACATGAGGGCACAGGGAGAAGAGAGCCTTCTAAGAACTAGGAAGCGGGCCCTCACCAAACATTGAATCTGCCAGTGCCTTGATCTTGGGCCTCCCGACCTGCCTTGATCTTGGGCCTCCCGACCTGCCTTGATCTTGGGCCTCCCGACCTGCCTTGATCTTGGGCCTCCCGACCTGCCTTGATCTTGGGCCTCCCAATTTCCAGACTGTGAGAAATAAATTTTGCTTTTTAAGTTACCAAGTTTATGGTAATTTGTTATTACAGATGGAACAAACTAAGAATATAGGCTCCATGAAGGCAGAGGTTTTGTCTGTTTTTTTCATTGATGTATCCCCAGCACCTAGAAAAGTGTCTACCACATGGTGGGGGGCCAGCAATACTTGCTGAATAAACAAATTCACATCCTCACTTTCAGTAGCCACATAGTTTACACATAATCATATATATAAACGTGTATTGACACAGGTACACATTCTTTTTTTTTTTAAATCCTCACCCAAGGACATTTTTCTATTTTTTGTTCAGACAGAGTGGGAGGGAGAGAGAGGAAGAGGGAGAGAAACACCGACGCAAAAGGGACACATCAAGTGGCTGCCACCCGCAAGACCAACCAGGGCCGGGGACAAACTGCAACCGAGGCATGCGCCCCCAGCAGGAACCGAACCCGAGTCTCTCTGGACCTCAGGCCGACGCTCCAACCGCTGAGAACCGGCCAGGGCAGGTACACATTCTTAAAGACAAAGTTTATTCCCCTCCCACTGCAGTCTAGGTCTTCATCAAGGAACAAAGCAATCCCCTAAACACTATGTACTCTCCCTTTACATACCTCGTAAGCGAGAGGGTGGGTGATGTCAGGGCCTGCCCACAACAGGCTGGACACCATGCTTCACCCCTAAGAGCTGGTGTCCCACTCCCTCTGAGGTTGCAGAACTAGTGGCTAAGAGCAGACTCTGGGGCCAGGAGGACTGGGTTGGCCACTTACTAGCTGTGTGCTTAGACAAATTACTTAACCTCCATGTGCCTGTTTTGTCAAATATAGATAACAATGGTGCCTACTCCACACGGCTGTGCCAATTTTAAAAGCTGTTAGGTTCCAGATAAAATAGAGTAAGCCCACTCCACTCTGTCTCTCCTGCTGAAGGCAACTATAAAATTTGGACAGAAATGCATGGAACAGCCCTCTGAGGAGTCTGAAAAGTAAAGAGCAGCAGGAAAATTGAGGAAGAAAGTCAGAATTCTAAGTTCCACTGAGCTGGCTGACAGTGACTGTTTCCCCACCTGGGACACAAGACTGCCCCAAATCCAGAATGGGCACCAGGGTGAAGAGAGATCTCCAGCCAAAGCTCTCTAGTTCTGGCTGGAGGAGTGGAACAGGTCTCACACTCAGAGAGTAAAGAGAATCCTGTTTTTCTTTTCTGCACCCTCTCGTTCTCCGGCCCCCGTCAATTCCATGGCAGTCACAGTGGTGACAGTAACATCAGTGACTGCGGGGCCCACCGACACCTGCAGCTCTGAAGGAGAGGAACTTTCCCTCTGATGAAAAGAGGGTCCCAAGAGGGTGGAGTGAACCTCATTGCACCTCTCTCTCTCTCTGTCTCTCTCTGTCTCTCTCTCTCTCTCTCCTCCTGTCACATAGCCACAGGGTCAGTCACAGGAAGTGTGCAGCAGAGCAGGGTAACTCAAGCCCCAGTTTTCTTACTGGAGAATAAAAAAGGGAAGCCAGCCCTAGCCGGTTTGGCTCAGCGGTTAGAGCATCGGCCTGCGGTCTCGTGAGACCCGGGTTCGGTCCCCGCTAAGGGCATGTACCTCGGTTGCAGTTTGTCCCCGGCCCTGGTTGGGTTGTGTGGGTGGCAACCACTCGATGTGTCTCTTTCACGTTGATGTTTTCTCTCTCTCTCTCCCTCCCACTCTATCTGAACAAAATATCAAAAAATGTCCTCAGGTGAGGATTAAAAAAAAGGGAAGCCCCATGGAATGAGAAAGCGAACGAAATCACAGAGAGGGAAAAGAAACCTCATCAAGTTGTTAATGAACTCCTGAGCTCACCCCTCAAGCGGCACTCAAGTAGACCGGTCCTAAGCAGTATATCTAAGGCTTTGAGAACTGGACTAGGGGGAAGATCACTGCCCAGGTCCCAGACTGGCCACTGGGTGGAACAGATCTAAAGAGCACTGCCGCCCTGGCCAGTTTGGCTCAGCGGTTGAGCGTCGGCCTGCGGACTGGAGAGTCCCGGGTTTGGTTCCTGCTAGGGGCACGTACCATAAAAATAAATAAATAAATAAATACATTTAAAAAAAAAAAAAGAGCACTGCCAAAGTTCTGACATTGAAATTATAACCCACAGAATGATCACGTCCTGAAGCCTGATCCCACCTGGGTCAGTTGCCTGCTAAAACAAAATTGCCAACATTCTCTGAAGAATTTAAACAATAGCCAGATTCTTCTAACATAATATTTTAAAATATCCAGGATACAAGCTAGCATTCTGTAGCTACTAGAACCAGGAAAATCATCAATTCACCCAGACACTTGCAAATGCTGAGATGACACTTGCAAATGTTGGATTTATCTAAAATGCTCCAGGGAGCAAGGGCAAATAATCAGTCTTTAAACGAATGAAAAGATAGAAAGTCTTAGCTATTACATAAAAGATATTTAAGCCCTGGTCGGTTTGGCTCAGTGGTTAGAGTGTCAGCACTCAGTTCCATTCCTGGTCAAGGGCACACACCTGGGTTGCAGGTTCGATCCCCAGTCAGGGTCATGTGGGAGGCAATGAATCAATGCATCTCTCTCACATCAATGTTTCTCTCTCTCTCTTTCTCCCTCCCTTCCGTCTCCTCTATCTAAAAATCAATGAAAAAATATCCTCAGATGAGAATGAACAACAACAAATAATAAAGAAAGAAAGAAAAGAATAGCTTTTCAAAGTAATTTTTTAAAAAATTTTTTTCCTTTATTGATTTTAGAGAGAGAAGAAGGGAGAGGGAGAGAGAGATAGAAATATCGATGAGAGAAAACATTGACTGGCCACCTCCTGCATGCTGCCCAATGGGGATTTGGCCCACAACCTGGGCATGTGTCCTGACTGGGAATTGAACCAGCGACCTCCTGGTGCATGGGTCAACGCCCAACCACTGAGCCACACCAGCCCGACTGCCAAAATAATTTTTAAGAAAAAGGTATTTAAAAATAACCAAATGGAAATTTTATTTTATTTTTTTAAATTTTATTTATTTATTTTTTATTCTCACCTGAGGACACTTTTCCATTTTTTGTTCAGATAGAGTGGGAGGGAGAGAGAGGACGAGAGAGAGAGAAACATCAACGTGAAAGGGACATATCAAGTGGCTGTCCCCCACATGACCCAACTAGGTCTGGGGACAAACTGCAACCGAGGTACACGCCCCTAGTGGGAACCGAACCTGGGTCTCTCTGGACCGCAGGCCGACGCTCCAACCACTGAGCCAAACCGGCCAGGGCCAAGTGGAAATTTTAGAACAGAAAAAATAAAATAACAAAAATAAAAATTCACTGAATGGGCTCAAATAGAATGTAGATAACAGAGGAAAGAGCCAGTGAACTTGAAGATAGGTCAATAGCAGTTATTCAGAATACATCACAGAAAACAATGCTGGGGAAAAAACATGGACAGAAACTCAGGGATATGAAGGGTTAATACCAAATGGTTTACTATTCATGACATCAGAGTTCCAGAAGGAAAGAAAAAAGAAGGCAATACAGAAAAAAATGTTTGAAGAAATAATGACTGAAAACTTCCCAAATTTGGCAAAAGGTATAAATGTACAGATTCTAGAACCTCCTCAAACCCAAACAGGACAAATTATAATCATAACCATACTGCTGAAAACAAACAAATAAAAAATCTTGAAAGCCACCAAGAAAAAAAAAATGTGTTACTTGTAGGAAAACAACCACACAAGTAACCTCAGATTTCTCATCAGGAGCCACGAGACCAGTAAGAAGTGGAACATTTTTTAAGTGCTAAAAGAAAGTAACTGTCAACCCAGCATTCCATATCCAGTGAGATTATCCTTCAAGTACGAAAGTGAAATAAAACTCAGAGACAGTGTTGCCAGCAGGTCTGTAGTAAAAGAATTGCTAAAGGAGTCCTGGCCAGTTTGGCTCAGCGGTTAGAGTGTCAGCCCGGGGACCACTGAGTCACGGGTTTGATTCTGGTCAAGGGCACATACCTTGGTTGCAATTAATCCTCAGCCCTGGTAGGGGTCGTGTGGGAGGCAGACACTTGATACGTCCCTTTCATGTTGATGTTTCTCTCTCTCTCTTCCTCCCACTCTATCTGAACAAAGGTGGAAAAATGTCCTTTGGTGAGGATTTAAAAAAATAAAATAAAAAATAAAGTTACATACGGTTACGTATGACCCAGAAATCCCACGCCCAACTATTTATTTTTTAAAAATGAATACATATGTCCACACAAAGACCTGTACATGAATGTTTATAGCAACTCTATTTATAATTGCCCCAACCTGGAAACCACCCGAATGTCCTTCAATGAGTGATTGAATAAACAAACTATAGATATTCATATTCCAAGGTATTTACTACTCAGCATTTAAAAGGAATGGACTATTCCTTATACACAGAACAAATTGAATTAAGTCAAAGACATTAGGCTGAATGAACAAAGCCTGTCTCATAAGGTTAATATACTGTATAATTCCATTTATATGACATTTTCAAAAAGATAAAACTAGGTGTTGGAGAACCAATACCCTGTTGCCAAAGATTAGGGCTATGAGGAGGAGGAACTACAATATAAGTCCTTTGTACTAAGGAGTCCTTCAGAGTGATGTAACTATTCTGTACCCCAACTATGGTGGTAATCACAGGAATATATATATGTATTAAAACCCAGCACTGTACATAAACCAAAAAAAGTCAATATTTTTGTATGTAATTTTTTTTTTTTTTTTTTTATCCTCATCCGAGGACATTTTTCCATTTTCTACTCAGATAGAGCGGGAAGGAGAGAGAGGAAGAGAGAGAAACATCGATGTGAAAGGGACACATCGAGTGGCCGCCACCCACACGACCCAACCAGGGCCGGGGACAAACTGCAGCCAAGGTACATGCCCTTAGTGGGAACCGAACCCGGGTCTCTGTGGACCACAGGCTGATGCTCTAACCGCTGAGCCAAACCGGCCAGGGCTGTATGTAAATTTTTTAATTTTTTTAAGTTATCATTCTCTAAAGTGCTTTAAAACATACCTGGAAAATAATAAGCTGTAAAAGTGTTTGCTACTTGAAAATAGAATAAATCCCTGGCTTTTCCAAGAACTGAGCCACCTACCTATATAAGAAACATGAGAAATGCCCGCTGGGGCTGTTTAAAAACCAGGAGACTCTGTTTTGTTTGTTTGGGTTTTTTTGTTCTTTAGAGTCCACATATAAGTGAAATAATATGGTGTTTGTGTTACTCTGTCTGACTTATTTCACTTAGTTCAATACTCTCTAGGTCCATCCATGTTGTCACAAATGGTAAGATTTCATTCTTTTTATGGCTGAGTAATATTCCATTGTATATATGTACCACATCTTCTTTATCCATTCATCTATTGATAGACCCTTGGGTTACTTCCACATCTAGGTTATTGTAAATAACGCTGCAATGAACATGGGGTGCATATATCTTTTCGAAGTAGAATTTTGGATTTCTTCAAATACATACCCAGAAGTAAAATTGCTGACACATAAGGTAGTTCCATTTTTAATTTTTTGAGAAACCTCCATACTGCTTTCCACAGTGGCTGCACCACTTTGCAATCCTGCCAGCAGTGCATGAGGGTTCCCTTTTCTCTACATCCTCACCAACACTTGTTGTTTGTTGATTTAATGATGACAGCCATTCCGACAGGTGTAAGGTGATATCTCATTGTGGTTTTCATTTGCATTTCTCTGAAGATTAGTGATGTTGAGCATCTTTTCATATGCCTATTGGTCATCT